ATGCTCCGACTTCTCGCATTCGCTCGACACGTGGAGATAATCATTATTGAAGCACAGAAGCCGAGGAGTACAACATTAATGGTAAGCCGGACACTACTCGTTACAACAGGTACTCTGGATTTGGAGGAGAACCCGCCTTGCAATGCCGAAGACAATTTACGTGCCGGACTCATCGTCATTGAAGCCTGGTTCAGGGGCTACTGAGGGAGTCCTAGATTAGGGGGTCCTCGGACAGTCGGACTATATACTTTGGCCGGACTGTTGGACTATGAAGATACAAGATTGAAGACTTCGTCCCATGTCCGGATGGGACTCTCCTTGGCGTGGAAGGCAAGCTTGGCGATTCGGATATGTAGATCTCCTTCTCTGTAACCGACTTTGTGTAACCCTACCCCCCTCCAGTGTCTATATAAACCGGAGGGCTTAGTCTGTAGGACAACAACAATCATAATCATAGGCTAGCTTCTAGGGTTTAGCCTCTGCGATCTTGTGGTAGATCAACTCTTGTAATACTCATATCATCAAGATCAATCAAGCAGGAAGTAGGGTATTACCTCCATCGAGAGGGCCCAAACCTGGGTAAACATCGTGCCCCCAGCCTCCTGTTACCATTAGCCTTAGACGCACAGTTCGGGACCCCCTATCCGAGATCCACCGGTTTTGACACCGAGAGAGACGAACTAGGATTGGGAATCCTAGTTGGACTCCCCCTTGGCGCGCCCCCTCTAGGCTGTCGGCCTCCTCCCTCTCCTCCTTTATATACGTGGCCAAGGGGCACCCCAAAGACACACCAAGATTTCTCTTAGCCGTGTGTGGTGCCCCCTTCCACAGTTTACTCCTTCGGTCATAGCGTTGTAGTGCTTAGGCGAAGCCCTGCATGGATCACATCATCAACACCGTCACCACGCCGTCGTGCTGATGGAACTCTCCCTCGACCCTCTACTGGATCAAGAGTTTGAGGGACGTCATTGAGCTGAACGTGTGCTGAACACGGAGGTGCCGTACGTTCGGTACTTGGATCGGTTGGATCGTGAAGACGTTCGACTACATCAACCGCGTTAACTAATGCTTCCGCTTTCGGTCTACGAGGGTACTGTCCACTCTCCCCCTCTCGTTGTTATGCATCTCCTAGATAAATCTTGCATTATCGTAGGATTTTTTTTTTGAAATTGCATGCTACATTTCCCAACAAACCTTTGTTAGCAGCACCTACACACACAAAAGGAAATACTTGCACCCAACGCGGGCAAGAGGGTTATCAATTCCCTTGAACTCGTTACTTGCAAGGATTAATTTCGATAGTGATAGATAGATAGATAAAAATAAAAAATAAAAATAAAGTAAATAAATTGCAGCAAGATATTTTTTGTTTTTTATAATATGATTAAAGTAGACCCGGGGGCATAGTTTTTACTAGAGGCTTCTCTCTCGAACACATAACATACGGTGGGTGAACAAATTACTGTTGGGAAATTGATAGAAAAGTGCATAGTTATGACGTATTCGCGACAATGATGTATATAGGCACCACATCTGAGACAAGTAGGCTGACTCATGTCTGCATCTACTACTATTACTCCACCAATGGACCGCTATCGAGCATGCATCTATGGTACTAAGTTGATGACAAACAGAGTAACGCCTTAAGCAAGATGACATATGATGTAGACAAAATAAACCCAATCAATATGAATAAACGTTGTCGTTTTACCCTTAATAGTAACAATACAATATGTGCCTCGCTACCCCTTCTGTCATTGGGTGAGGACACCGTAAAATTGAACACATTACAAAGCACCTCTCCCACTAAAGATAAATCAATCTAGTTGGCTAAACCAAGCGGATATATAGATCCAAGATAAATACAAAGCTATAACAATCATGCATAATAAAATTCAGAAAAGACTCAATTACTTTCAATGAATAATCTAATCATAAATTCACAATTCATCGGATCCCAACAAACACACCGCAAAAAAAGATTACATCGGATAGAAGTCCAAAAAGATCGAGGAGAACATGGCATTGAAGATCAAAGGGAGAGAAGAAGCCATCTAGCTACTAGCTATGGACCTGTAGGTCTATGGTGAACTACTCATGCATCATGTGAAGGCAGTAAGGATGATGTAGAAGCCCTCCATGACCGATTCTCCCTCCAGCAGAGTACTGGAAAAGACCTCCAGATGTGATCGCGGACGAACAAAAGCTTGCAGCGGCGAAAAAAGTGTTTCGGATGGCTCTTTGTTGGTTTGGCATTATTTGAGAATTTATAGAGGTCGAATTAGGTCAAACGGAGTTGCTTGGGAGGCACGAGTTCCCTCCCTGTAAGCTCGTGGCTCTCTCGTACGTCTTCTGGCCTCCTCCTGGACCTTCTAAGGTCCCTTCTGGTCCAGAAAAAATCATCGTAAAGTCTCATCGTGTTTGGACTTTGTTTGATACTGATTTTCTAAAAAGTCAAAAATAAGCAAAAAAAAAAAGAGCTGTCACTTAGCACTAAGTTAATAGGTTAGTCCTAAAAAATAATATAAAATAGCATATAAATGCATATAAAACATCAAAATTGTAATATAATAACATGAAACAATCAAAATTTATAGATACATTGAAGACGTATCAATTAGCGACACAGGGGAGGTCATTAGTGGTCAAATCAGTTCAAACCGACCGGGGGTTAGCGGCCGGCGAGGGGGCAGTTTTGCTAAGTCTTAGTCGACTAGGGCTTCGCTATGTCTCAGTTGATGTTATATTCCTTTGATCTTGCATGAAGATTTGTACAAACTTTCTCTTTTCAGTTTTTTTCTTTTTTTTCTTATATACTATGTCACTTTAGAGCATCTATGGCAGATTTCTAAAAAGGACCATCCAGCAAAATAATCGCCAGTTTATGAAATGATGGCATTTTTTTCGTCTGAAATAGATTCCACAAAATCGTCCGTCTTGTGTTTTTTTATGGGAACCTGCATATTGCAGCCCGTTTTCTCTATATCAACGGAATGGAGGAATTATTTTTATAAAAACCTGGAAATAAGAAACGGTTGGCTGGAGGGAACTTTAGCCACACCCATTTTGGGAACTCTAGCCCTGTTTCAACCTATCCCCAATCCTTCTCGAAAGAAAAGAAAAGGAAAACTATCCCCAACCCGACCCGACCCGACCGAGCTCGCTCTTGATCTCGCTGACAGGCCATGGCGGCACTCGTTCCTCCCGACTGCTCCCCTCCCCCTCTAGTACCCCTGCTCCACTGACCGCGCCGCGGCCCTTCTCTGCCGACCGTGCCGCGCCCCTGTCCCGGCTCGCCCCCGCGACCTCGTAGTCGACCGCCGGCGCATCCATCTCCGCCGACCGCGCCACGCCGCTGCTCCTCCGACCGCGCCGCGCCCCTGTCCCCTCGACGTCGACTTCAACCGCGGCGGCACGCGTGCCCCTACTCCGCTGGCCGAGTAAGGACCGGCGGCGCGCGTCGAGGTGCTGCCCCTCTCTCTTTCCCGTACGCTGATCTGTATTACTTACCCGAGCTGTGGCTAGTAATCCACCATTGTACTCAATTACTGCTCCCGTTGTCATCCGTTCCGGTGCTTGCAGAGCCTTTCTTCTGGCAGTTGTCTTTCTGACTCACAAGTTCGCCTGCTTGATTGCTGGTTGCATTGAAGTTGGGGTTATCAATCCCTATCCTGCAAACGATGCATTGCTGTACCCTCTGCTCTGGAACTGAAGGAGACATGCAAGGGGCATATATCATATATGTGTCTTTCTTGGAACGTGTTAGTCTCCGTTTGACACTAGTGATATTTTGGCATGGAAAAACTGAACTGAGTGGTATTTTGGCGCTTTGGTTTTCACTAATGATATTTTGCTGCTTTTAGCTCTAATTAGTGGTGTTTTTGGTTATTCTCTCGTGCTATAAGTAATTCTCTGACACGGGCACAAGTACCCGAATCCGACTCGGATTCGGCTGTCTGATTCCGCAAAATAAAGTCCCCGGATCCGACTCGGATTCGGGTGCCTGATTTGGCAAAATAAATCGGACACGTGCAAATATGCTACACAGATTTGGGGTTTCCAGTTTGGCGAAATAAATCCGGACACGAGATTCCGTGTAACACTGCTTTTTGGGTCCATTAGAGTGAGCAATCACATGGCTAGGTGTGATTAGCAGAGATTCTTTTCCTTTTTATTTTGGGTGGTGGGGACAGTAGCAGACAGGGATGGCTTGAGCTTTTGGGTGAGGGCACAGATACAAACCTAAAATGGTGTTGTGGGAACTAACTTTTGCACCAAAGGTAATTCTGCTGCGGGTCGCTAGTTTTGCAGGGATATTATCACCGTAGAAACTAGAGTTGAGGTGGACAAGATAATGGCCTAATGGTACAAGGGCTGTTGAATTTCCTGGCTGAGTCCGGTTTGAGGCCTAGCACCAGCATGGTTACCCATTCCCTTTAGTGAATTCAAGAACCCCCCGCCAATGTAGAAATGTCAAGATGTAGTCGTTTTCCATTATAGAGTATCACTAATCTGTAAATAATACTGTATTGCTCGGTCGATATTTACCAAAATTGTCATCGTTTTACTTATATTGGAAGAATTATGTCCATCTATCAGTTTAACTACGTGCTGCTTTAAAGTGGCATGGTGAAGATGGGCAACCCTTCAAAAATGTCTTGCCATATATTACTGTTCATCCATCATATTGTTGTGAAAAGTTTTGTTGCCCATGGCGACAATAAACTTTTTATTCATGAAAGCTCATGTCTTTATCTGTCGGCTATTGGTAAATGTGCTTCAGTAATTTGTGAGAATAACACTTTGGATACATGAGTGCAGGAATAATAAATAGTAATTTGTGAGAATAACACTTTGGATACATGAGTGCAGGAATAATAAATAGTAATTTGTGAGAATAACACTTTGGATACATGAGTGCAGGAATAATAAATTGTTAATTATTGCAGGGAGGTCAGACTTTAGAAGGCACTTGCCTGCACTATTAAAATCCTTGTGCGATGAACAAGAAACCGAAAACATCTTCTGGGGAGCGAGTTCACTTGAGTTCCTCTATGGACATGTCTTCTGTGTCACAGCTAGAACAATCGAAACCCTTAATGGAGGCAGATGTTCAGTTCGATTCTTGGGCAGAAAAAGCAATACGCAATTTCATCTTTGAAGTTGGACTTGGGCCTCGTTTTGTCTACTTGACATCTTTCAAGGAGATGCTTCAAACTGTTCACAATAGGGATGTTGAAATTCCTACATATGAATCCATGCTACGGGAGGAACTAAAAGAAACTCAGCACCGGGCAATGCAACTCAAGCAAGAATGGAAAAAAAGTGGTTGCAGTATAATTATGGATAGTTGGAAGAGCCAATGTGGTACAAAAAGCTTCATAAGTGTTTTGGTGCATTGCAGCAAAGGTATGTATTTCCTCAGATCAATCGATGTCTCTGGAATCCTCGAGGACATGGATGAGCTAGTTTCAGTGTTTTCTCGTGTGGTTGATGATGTTGGTGCCCGCAACATAGTTCAAGTTATCAGAAATGATGTGTCACCACATATGCGAATGGCATGGCATTATGTGCAAAAGGAACATGACCATTCATTCTTCGTCCCACTGTGTGCTGACTTTTGCATCAACCTTCTGCTTGAGAAAATTGCAGCATTTGATCACGTCAGTGAGGTTCTAAGGAAGGCAAAGGAAATAACAAGGTTTATATATGGCAATGTGCTGGCATATGAACTGGTAGGGCGGTATATTGATGACGGTGAGATCCTGAGCAATTCTTGTTTCAAATCTGTTGCAGAGTTCATCACATTAGATAGGTTAGTTTCTATGAGAGAAAATCTAGTTGAGATGTTTAGCTCACCTGAATGGGTTTCCTCTGATCGGTCTACTAGAATGTTTAACCCACTTGATTGGATTTCCTCTGGTTTCTCTACTACTACAAGTTTGTTCAGGCATATCTGTGGCATAGTAAAGACAGATGATGCATTTTGGTGTGCTGCTGCTGATGTTTTGAAGATTACAAAACCATTTATCAATGTGTTGCTTAAACTAGAATCTGAGGACTGTCCAATGGGTATCTTGTATGACACCATGGCAAGTGCAAAAGACATAATGCGCAATCTTGGAGGTAAATATGGTGATATTTTGCATTGGGTTGACGAGATATGGTATGGTTACTTGCATACCCCACTCCATGCTGCTGGTCATATGCTAAACCCAAGGGTCTTTTACAAAGATCCTTCCTGTGATGATCCTGAGCACAGCGGTCGTATTGAGGCCTGCACAACCGCAATTGCAAAAGGCCATTATGATCCAGGGAGACTGAAAGCGCAAATTGAAGTATATAAAGGAAGATCAGGTTCTTTTGGTTCAGATTCAGCAATTCAGCAAATAGTGGGGACACCACAAGGTAAAGTAGAGCCTATTCCCTCGTACTTCTTTCCACTTTGACTTGTAGAATACGAAGAAATCCATGCTTCATTTGTATTAAAATAAGGGAATTAAGTTCTGAGTTCTGACCATTTCTTCAATTGCAGTTGTTTGGTGGTCAGCGCATGGGACAGGCATGCCTGAGCTGCAGAGCTTTGCCACTCGGGTCTTATGCCAAACATGCTTTGGCGCTAAAAGATACAACATCAGCAGGCAGGTATCAGAGGAGGCGCATGAGACGAGGGGAGCTGATCTCGAAGAGCTGTACCGTGGGCTGGAGTACGTCCACTACAACAGGCGTTTCGCCAGCGCTGCACCACTCATAGGCGGTCTTTCGGGGGATCAGTGTGGTAAACCTGGCAGGAAGCTGGGGAGCGACTGGTTCCTGTATCCGCGGCACCGACAGCATATCGTAATCGGATCATCGAACACATAGACATAGCAATTTTATTCCTTCAACTTTCATCAGTGCCGTGTGGGCACAGATGTTGTGACAGAATGCTTTTTTTTTTCCTTTACATTCAGCCATCAGAGCCGTGGCAGCAGAGAAACATATGGACCAAATGTTGCAACAAATATATACCTTATCGGCATCCCCAAAATTAGTGTCACCGACATGTTTCCTTGACTCTTGATTTCACTCGCATTTGGAATGTCTGGCTTGTATGTGCAAAAAGGAAGAACTTGAAGGTTCATGGGGGATGCAGCATTCGGTAGCGACACTTGGACATTTCCCCTCCAGCCTTTTGAAAGCAAATGCGGCTTAGCGCAGATTCAGTTTTCACTAGTCCAACCAGCAAAGAGGGGCAGGTTTACAGCTCTGGTAAGAGGGACAGGTTCAGCAGTTTCACGGCCAGGCAAGAGAGGCAAACGCTGAGCGTTCACACTCAGCATCGTGCAGCACCAGTTTATGGTTGATACTCCGAAGAGGCACTTGGCTGCAGTCCAGTATCACAAAAGTAAGAGGCTATACAAACAAAGACAACAATCTATATATCTAGCTTTGGATCATGCTGACGATAGGTATTATTACATCAACTGTGGAATTCCCACTTTCCAAGTGTTTTGACCATTGCATGAACTGTGGAATTCCCACTTTCCAAGTGTTTTTACTATTTGCATCAACTGTGGAATTCACACTTTCCAAGTGTTTTGACTATTGTATCAACTGTGGAATACCCACTTTACACTGCCAAATAACTTGGGCCAGCAACTGTCAACCAATGATAAAAACCAGCAGTGTCAGTACCTAATGTTTGTTATAATCTCCCATGAATGTGATATTTCTTTGAATAGTGGATTGCTCATCTCTATTGCATGAGTAGACTTAGTAGCAAGGGTCAAATTTTGGCAAAGCATGGTTAAATTTGACACCCAACTAGTTTTGGCATGACTCCCTCGGGATTTAACAGGTGGTGCCGTCTGTGCCCTCATATCACTCACTTTTCCCAGATGAAACTGAGCTCAAGTATGCACAAAAAAGAGAGTATGAGATTGTGTCCTTGGACACAACTTTAACCAATTCAAATTACCAGTTCAACAATCTGGCTCACAAACTCATTTAAGTGATACACTTTGGTCAAAAACAGTTCAAAGAGGCGCAGGACACTGACCAAATTAATGATCAAAGCTTCTTATTGAAAAGGATCAAAGTTTTTACTGAAATGCGTGCAAACCTTACAAACCAAGGTGGAGGGTGTACATGAGAATATATTTTTGCACATGGCACATGCTCAGACCAGACTAATATACATCATCTACAAATAGTAACTATGCAGGTATAATCAAAATTGGAGAAAGAAGTGCTCATAACAAATTTGAGGGTTTTATTTTTATTGCCGGGAGAAACATGAAGACATTTATTAAGGCTCTAGGGTCTGATCTTGTTCGCTGCCACTATCCTCCTGATATTGCTCCTCGTCACTCATGCCACTTGTATGGCCATTAGGAGGGTCTTCGTAGATGTGCCCCATCTTCAACCTCTTTGTTTCCATGTAACGCCGATTCTCATTAGTTATTGGTGTCAACAGCGGCACTCTTCCCAGGACACTTAAACCGTAGCCCTTGAGTCCAGTGTACTTCGCCGGGTTGTTAGTCATCAGCCTCATGGTTCGGACGCCAAGATCACGTAGTATCTGCATAGCGGAAATAGATATCAGCAAAGGTGGATAGCTCAGGAGTTGTAATACAAGCGAATTCTAGTGGAATGGTCTTTACCTGCGCGCCTATACCGTACTCCCGGGAGTCGGCAGGCAACCCAAGATCCTCATTAGCCTCAACAGTATCCCGTCCAGCATCCTGTAAATTGTATGCCCGGAGCTTGTGACCCAGCCCAATGCCCCTGCCTTCGTGGCCACGTAGGTAAACCACCACACCCCGACCAGCCTTCTCGATCATGGTCATCGCCAGGGCAAGTTGGCCCCCACAATCACACCTTGCCGATCCAAATATATCTCCAGTTAGGCACTCTGAATGGACTCTCACTAGAATATCCTGGCCATCCCCAACATCACCCTGCATATAAAGGAAAACAATTTATTATTGCCCTGCATATAAATGGTTTTTGCCTGGTTTTCCCTAACTAACTGGGGAATTCTACTTCTACTGTGAAATCCAGAGCTCCTGTGCTTGGTTTCTTCAAAAAATAAGCCTAGATGAAAAGAAAGACTTAGCAGCATTCATTATTTAAGAAGGTTTCCTTCCCACAATACATTGCTGCTTCACCATGATCTTGCAGTATAGGACTGTACAACTGGTTGAGGTTTTTTGGCCAGACTGATGGATGTAAATGGCAAAAAAATGTCTTGCTGCATTTAGTTTTGTTCAAGAATTTTATTACAGATGTATGTACTAGAACAAAAAATATCCCATTGTTGAGTCCAACTGCAAACTTGCAAGTGACTACCTATATTTGCTCATGGATGCTTACCTTGATCATTGCAATGTGCTCCATCCCATCGATAAGTGATCGGTAGCAATAGGATTCAAATGACCCCCACTGTAATTGTAATGGTGTGACACAAAGACGTTCTACCAGCCTGTCTCTCTTTCTCCTATATCTGTATATGCAAATAATTTCTTATAAGGAACTGATAGTCCAGTAAAATATTACACAAAAGTATGCATTCAAGTAGAATTAATCAAACTGTAGCTTTCATATTCGAAATTGTTCTCTAGTTGCCATCCGGCATGAAACTATTACCGTTCAGTGCATCATAATTAAATTCTTAACTTGTACGAACGAACTGACACTTGGTTATATTAGCAAATAACAAACCTAATCAAGTCTGCAATTGAGACAATCTTCAGGTTCTCCCTCTCTGCAAATTCTTTCAGCTTTGGCAACAAAGCCATGGAACCATCATCATCGTCAACAATTTCACAAAGAACTGCAGCAGGAGGTAACCCAGCCAACATGGCAAGGTCTACTGATGCTTCAGTATGCCCAGCCCTTTTGAGGACACCACCTTCTCTATATTTAAGAGGAAAGATATGTCCAGGACGGTTGAAGTCCTCAGGCTTAGAATAAGGAGATGCAAGTGCTAGAACTGTGCTTGCCCGATCCTTGGCTGAAACCCCTGTTGTTGTGCCCTCTTTAGCGTCCTAAAATACATTTTTTAAGCAGTCAATTGGAGAAACAGGCAAGAGGAGAAAGTAAAATATGCCCATACAAAAAAGGAGAAAATACAATATGCGCATAGACCAGAATTCTGACTAGAAAATCGGACATCATACCACTGAAACAGTAAAGGCTGTCCGCAGCTTCTCTTCATTTTCCTTTGCCACTACCATAAGAGGAAGTTGTAGTCTTTCCAGGTCATCTTCTTTCATGCTGACACATACAATCCCAGTGCCATGCCTCACTATGAAAGCCATAGCCTCTGGTGTTACTGTGGATGCTGCCATTATAAGATCTCCTTCGTTCTCCCTGTCTTCATCATCCACAACAATCACATACTGCAAATGAATCAGTTAGGATTACAGAGCAAATGATGCCAAATAAATAAGTAAATAGAAAACATAACTTTGGTAACAGGACATACTTTTCCTTGGCGAATATCTTCAATAGCTTCAGGTATAGATGAGAAACCCTCTGTAGGCAAATCTAGGTCAAGTTCATCATCATCGGCTGAAAACCCATCGACGACAGGAGCCATGTCAGCAGCTATGGTCCCCAATGCAGCAGCATCAGCTTGAACAGTTTTAGATGGACTGGCCTGACCATTTATAACAATACGTTCTGACGGATCAACCCCAGCATGACATACATGAAAGCTTTTGATTTGATTATTATTTGCCAAGTGAACCGAACTGGTTCTCCTTAAGCTGTTCGATGCCAAAGTTGGTGAAACTGAAATATCGCAGCGCAAGACAGAATTCATGGGCTGACTGTTGGTACCAGTGAACCGTGGAAAGAGTTTCCCACTGCATAAACCAATTTAAGATAAGATGTTAGAATTATGAAGTAAAATGCCATGATCTGAATTATTGTCGATAATGTCATATCGGTAATCTTGTGTCCTGTTGTGTATCATAATGCCTTGTAGGTTGTAGCACCATATGAACAAAATTTTGATGGAAGATACTTAACAAATTTCATGCCTACTGTATACAAGGAACATGGTAAGAAATAAACAAGGAAATGTGGGTGAGTAGAAATTTTCGGCATCAAACTTTACGCACAAAGCTAATAATGAGTTCTGTGAGTGACTCCATGCCCTTTGTATCTTGCTTTTGTGCAGTTATCCCTCATAAACCGGGCAACTGTTTCTTCCATATGAATAGGCAGTTCTGCCGTCAGGTTTCCCCAAAAAACAACGAAGATGAAGCACAATCCACATCTCCTATTTCTCCAAAGTAAAAATTCATATCTCCTGAACCTAAAAAATAGTAGAACCATTATACCAACCCAACCATGCCTATATAACTACATCATGGCTATATTCCTCTAACCAAATATACCTTGGGCCAGAGTTGGATACCGAACCTCCTCTAGTCCGAAGCTTGGCCCAAACAGACCACTACAATCCTAGGGTTTGGTGCTCAGAGATGACTACGGGGAGAGCCCCAGTCGATCTCTTCTACTTGTCGAACAACATTTTTCCCAAGTGATTTCGACTGTAAATCCACTGACTGACTGGGCAAAATACATGCTCACGGGAAAATGAAATAACTCACCGGAGGCACGAAGGAGAAGAAGGCGGCGCGATTGAGGGAGCCATGTCGCCGGCGAGACCCCTCCGTCTCGGGGTAAGATGGAAAGCGAGGAGAGGAGCCGCCGCGGGTTGCGAATGAACCGCGTGGGGTGGAGGCGCGGAAGACGGAGAGAGACGTCCGGAAGGTGGTAGGTAGGATAGCGCAGCGCGCGCAGCTGGCGTGGCGGCGGCGCCCGGGTGGGGAAAAGCTGTGGCCTCTCATAGCATCTATACAACCGGA